CCAAATGTGCCTTCAATTAAGATAAAGATCGCAGAATATTTTATCTTTGAAAGTTGGTTTATTCTGAAAGCACTGTTGTTGAATACAATACATACTTAAAACGTTTTTAAAATGAAATGCTTCAAAAACTATACGCGATAAACCGAAAATTTTGAAAATTGTGAAAAGTGGAGTTACGGACATTTTTCATAGCTACTACATATAAAGTGTACACATAAGTACTAATTGCACGTAAAATTTCCAGCCAGTCTATGGTGTGCTTCAAAAGTTATGACATAATTAATTTTTCACCTCCTTATTATTACACGAAAAAACCGCTTGTTTTTTTTTTGTAATTAAAACATCTATAACTCAAAAGTTATGCAACAAATTTATTAACAATTATTTTGTGGCTCAAGTATACGTCTATGAATTATATCCAACAGCCACCAGCTTCATATAGTTTACAACAATGAAAATAAATCTAAATAACACAAGGTTTGCTGTTTTTCAGATTTGCCCGTGTATGTACATACATATGTATATCTACATAATTATAAATATACATATATTCACGTAAATACATACATTTTTTTATTTACACCCTGGCAAGGCAGTAAAAACCTGGCACCTGTAATACGTCGTGGCTGCTCGCAGCACGCCTGCTGGTATTTAATGCGCTGACTGCTAGTGTTTATCTCCAGTCTATTTTAGTAGGTACTTTGTTGTTCGTTTTGCCTGCATGTGTCTATCCTGCGGCTTACATGTCCTTTGCTATAGTATGCTTGTACAACATAGATGTACACGTATCCTCCTTCCTTATCCGTAGCTCGTTTGCTGTGACAATACATTAGACTTTAGACTTCAACAGCAAATACAGTTTGACAAATTCCTGTTATTAAACACTGGCGCAAGCACCTTGACAGTTATTTGTGCATACATAGTATGTGTGAATATACACATGAATAACCAGTTAAGTTTATTTAGTATGCACATAAATGAATGCATACATATGCAAGTGCAAACGTGCACCTCGTTTGCGGAGGATGTTAACAAATGCCCTGGTTTTGCATGCAACCGACGGCATTTCCTGCAACGAATAATATACATATGTATGGGTGCAAAGATACAACAGAAAATGTCCTAACCTTACAAAGCGAACAGCATACGCCTTCATTGGGTTCGAAAGTACGAGTATTAGCGATGGCATATTTTGCGTGGTGGTTTCATTCGCACTGAGCTTGAATAAGCACTACAAAAATACATCAGAATTGAGAAATACCGCACAAGATATATAAGTTAGGTTAGGAAGGCGCATCCACCCTCTGTGAGTGCCAGGAGGAGGCAAATCTTTATAATCGATGTTAAATTATACTGTTAGTATAAAGTCTGTCAAACCATTTACTATCCCGTGGAGGTTCGACCTTTTCACCTACGCTAACTATTTGCCCCAAGCCATTTAGAAAGCATGATCCCAAATGCTTGAGGTGCCTTGTATGTCAATAGCTCCTCAGTATGACTCTTATCTCTCTTAGTTTCGGCCAGAAAGATCTTGAGATCTCACAGTCGTCCTGTTTGATCCATAGGTCATTAGTTACGGCTTCTCTAGTTGACCAGAAATCGGTGATGGTAAGGATTATCCGTTTCGCTAATTTGCATTTTCAAGCTGTATCTATGTCTAGACATCTCTAGCCATCTCATAAACATCTAGCCATCTCATCGGCTATTTCCTTCTCTTCTATATTGCTATGTCCAGGAATCCAGCAGAGTGAGGTTTTGACGTGACTCAGTGAAGCCAGCGTTGTCCGACATTTCCGAACTTCTTTTGACTTTTCCACCTTGAAGCCTAATGTCTACAATGCTGACTGGCTGTTTACAAATATAATGACGTTCTCTGGCAGAGACTTACTATCCCGTATGAGTCAAGCCGCCTTCTCTATGGCAAATATCTCCACCTGAAAGACACTGCAGTAATAAGGCAGGTGGTAGGAGTACAGACCCGAGCCGACTACTTTTTCAGAAAGAACGAAAAATACCATCATTTACCGACAGGAGGCCTACAACTAAAATCCCAGAGTGACGCTAGGTAATCAGTTTCGACATCTAAGCCGGTCTTGATACCGTTATGACGTCCACTATTAATTGCTTTTAAGACCGTTGCGTGTCTGTGCTTGGTCCTCTTCCACAATTTTGATTCTCTAAGTCTAAGGGCCCTTTTGCGGCTGCACTGGTTACAAATAATTATGGTGGCTTCAAGTAAAAGATCATGTGATGCGCTTCCCACAGCGCCTGATATGCCGAGGCATGAGAGCATCGGCGTAGCCAGAATGAAATTTAGGGGGGGGGGGGCTCGACCCTATTAAGCTGGCATTTCAGGGTACTATTTTATATATACATAAGGAAAATTTGAAGGTTAGGGGGGGGGGGGGGGGGCTCGAGCACCCTCCTGCCCCTACCTGGCTACGACCATGCATGAGAGTCTCTGAATTCTTTCAATTATTCTCTGATTACTGCTTTTGTCCCGAGATTTCCAACAGACCAGCGCTCCAATGGTTTAAATCGGTCAGATGACTGTGGCGTACATACCGTGAACGAAATGCGGTGATAGCACCCAGTTTTTCCCAAAACCCTTTCACAGGTATAGTACGCTGCTGGGCACAAGATACAGTGAAAGCTCCTATAGCGGACATCGATGGCCACCTACTTTTTTCCGCCTATGAAAGATGTCCGTTTATGAGAATTTCGTAAAAAATCAAATTAAAATTCAAATGTAAAAAATCTAAATTGCGGGTTTCTAAATTAAAATAATATTTATTCTTCAATAGACATAAACAGGATGAATAAAGAATAAACTCAGATTTATGGCGTTTTCTTTCCTACCTCAAGCACCAAGAAGAGGGCAACGAAAAAGTAACATTTTTTCTAGAAAAGAAAATATCTTTGAATATGGACTATATTCTTGTGTACACATACATATGTAGAAGCGCAAGAGACAACCTCTGATTGAAAAAAAAAATAAAATGGCCGCTTGTTAGAGCTTCGCGTCCGCTTATGGGAGATTTTTTTTCATAACTGGATAATTTTGAGTGTCCGCGTCCGTTTATCGGAAACTCCGTGTATGGGAGAGCATTTTGTATGGAAAAAACCGAAAATTGTTCGTTCCCAAGAATATGTCCGCTGATGGGAGGTGTCCGCTTATTAGAGCGTCCGTCTATAGTCAAACAATTGGAATATGCAAAGTAAACGTCAAACAGAATGTTTTTTTTTTATAAAATTTCCATTCACAGCTTTATGCAGCCTCCGAAAGGCAGATGATTTTTCATGAGAAACTTTCTGAATACAAAAAAAGCGCTGACCAATTTAAAAACAACACTTTTTTTAATGATCGAACCAGGAATTTATCATGGACCCTACCAGATGAAGGGCGCACCACTAACCACTCGGCATTGTGGTCATCGCTGAGAATATGAGTAAAAAGCAAGACAGACGGACATGCTTATGCAGATAAACTAGCACACAAATGCGCCCTGACCGACGACGGTATTGAGGATTAATGAGCCGCAAAGTCGTGCGTTCGAGTCCCACGGCCAGTAGAATTTTCATTTAATTCGTTTTTATTATTTTTTTTTATAAGTTCTTACATACATAACATATATTTTGTTACTGAAATTTTGGATAAATATACAAATTTCCAAATCAGGCATAATTTTTCGTGTTTATTTTTTCGCATTTATGTTAGAATTTTGTATATTACTTATTTGTGAAAATGCCTTTTATGAATAACAATAAAATGGAATTTCGGGATTTCAAAGGGGTTAGAATAATTTAATTTAGAATATCGGAAGACCATTTATGGCTTTTGCTTGAATTGTAGAAAAACCTTCGACAAAAACCACTACTTATATTTTAATTGTGATTTTTTTAAATTATGTTTTAATTTTTTACCAATTTTATTTTTAATTATAATTAACTGAAACCAACTCAAATATTAGGGTTGCACCTTGACATAAGAAAGCCAATTTATTACTTTTGTGATACGATACACATAAAAATCAAGTGGGCTCTAAATTTTTAATATTACTCTATGTAAAACTAGCTCTAACTGAGAACTATGATGCTAGATGTTTTTCCGTTAGCATTAAAATAAATTTACTCCTTTAAATTTTTAAACTTAAATTTCTAACCATTGGCGTAGCAACGCGCGTTGGGTACCTATTGCAAGCATATACATAAACACTCTGCAGATAATTTAGGTAGGTCCTTTTAAGTGAAAAAAGTGCTTGCCTGATTGTCTTTAGGAGGGCTTTTCCTATTTGCAATTTACTCGAATGTATAAGTCTATATTATTTAGCTTTACAAATAAATTTCAATATGTACTTTAACTTGCAATAAAATATACTGATATGAATCTTAAATAAATATCATAGAAAAATCTAGATTTTTATGAATTAAAGAAGCAGTAGTAGAATGCCTCTAGAAGGCCTTCCTTAGGTAGCAAAAGCCGGAGCCCCACAGTTTGTGAAAGAAATGCAGAGTCGGGGGCCTCTTAACTCTTAATTGTGCGTTTCGGAGGGGTTTTTAGCTCCTGAAATTATCTACTGGGTATGTGTGGGCACGTTGCGTGGTGCGCCGCTCATACATACAACGTTTAAAATAGCGCTGCATGTTAACTACACAGTATAATTTATGCTCTTTAAACAGTCTAATAGCACATATACATACATACATACCTACACATTTTGCTTCTTAATCAAGAGTCGTCCGTTGAATCAATTCATATTAAAAATGTTGACTATGCATTCAAAAGTTAAGCCCATAACGTCCTTTTACTAAATGCATACTAAGTTAAACAGATTTCTGAGCAATTACCTTTTTACAGTATGAAATTTACACCTCATCACTATTTTATCACTTTTCCACTGCTTCTTCTTCCCTCCTTATTCGACTAAACTTGCAGCACTGATTCACATTCATTCACAAGTCTACATATGTACATATATTTTTTAATATAATTTTTATAGATATGGCGCCCATCCACATCCACCAGATGGTGGTGCCTCCGTCGTCCATGCATTGCTTGAAAAACTCATAGAGAACGGCCGTAATTACGTTTTACAAAATGTGTCGTGCTTGCAAATTCTACTACGCAACATACCAATGATCGAAATGCCATACAAGGTGAGTACACACACACACACCTGATGTAACAACACTAACGCTCATATAAATATGTATGAAAATGTAAATTGAATAAATTTGTAAATTATATGTACCTGTAAAAGGACATCCATTGAGAAAAAAAAACTTTTAAAAATGCATATGTATGTATATACATATATACCTACATACATATATATTAGTTTGTACATATTTAGGTGTACTCACAAACTGAGTTTAGCTGGCATGTGGGCGTGCCACGAACTTTAAGACATGCTGTAAATTCCAAACTGCCTGGGCGTCCGCAATTCACTTTAATGTATGTAGAAATAAATGAATACATGGACATAGTTGTAAATTTGTACGAACGCACATTAGGCATATGACCATTTTAATAACAAGTGATTTTCATATATTAAAGGACGAAAAACTTTGAAAACAAAAAACACAAATATACTGTTTTTTTTAAATAAAGTAAAAAAAAAACGATTAAGAATGTAGAGAACATTGAAGTAACCAGAAAAATCGCAAAAATACCGGTTGTAAATGATAAAGTGTCAACTTGCAAGGTCAAGTTTGTTTGCCTTTATTTTGAAGGAAATGGAATAAGCTAATATTTGTTTGTTGAATTTTTTACCAAATTAAATAACAAAAATACAAATTTTTAAAAGAAAAATTTACTTTTTCACAAAATTTTATTTTTTCGTGTTACGCCAATTTTACAAAGTGTTTATCTTTTTTTTTACAACTTATGCATATAAAGTGCATATATTTTAGTTAAGAATATTTTTAATTCACGTACCATATTACCGTGCGAAAGTACAACCCGTGTCAAAATTATAAACGCACCACATATCAAGATGAATCAGGAAAAGTTCTACCGTTTCATCCTCTTAAAAGCAGAATGGGCAAATGCAGTTGTCATTTACGCCTATCACAGTGAGGTGTTTGTGCCACGTGAAGTGACCAATCAGCAGTCTCGTCTTCTCAGTGAGAGGAAAAAACTGGATAGACCTTCTAAGATTGAAAGCAACATGCATCCACCCGATGGCTCCCAGTCATTGCAGAGCGCAGTATTCACCCAGTTTCTGATGGTGGCTTCGATTGTCGAATTGCGGAGTGCTATAACTGGCTACGATTGGAGGAATGCCTGGTCTAAGCCAACTGGGGCCAAAGGGTCAGATGTCTCATTTCCAGGTACTCCCGAGTTGCCCGGCACCCAGAGTAAAGCGAGTTCGTTATCTTTACCAACGTAATTTAGTCGAGACTTGCATTGACGAACTAGTCTGAAAGTACTTAGATAGAGGGATAGCTAATGCCTTAAGTGCAGCTTAAGCTTCTTTCATAAACTTTCAAGGAACTCTCTCTCTAGAATCCTGTAGCATTGAAAAGACACAAGTGTCCAAATATTTGCCGCCGGCAATTTCCTTATCGCCTCACTCAGTGTTATACCAATATTCGTTTATTTTTAGTCTGCAGGTGGCCTTTAAAGCTTCCCCACGTATGATGACACAAAGTGGCGGTAAACACACCAGTGTGTCAAGAGCATTATATATCACTCAAAAAAAAAAAAAAATTAAACTTAAATAAATAGGCTATGAAGCAACCATTATGGTTCTTTGCTATCGAAACCAGATAAATTTTCGTGGACCCCCACTTACAACTCGTGGACACCCATATTTTTTTCACGCCAACGTTACCCCTGTCGAGCCTCCCGTGGATCCCTGAGGGTCTACCCGGACCACCTTGGGAATCACTTTTCTTGGCTTAGGAGCTTTAAACTATTATGAAGGCTGCAAATAAACTCAGAACCGATATTTGTAATTGGCAAATATGTTTTCATTTTCACTGGGGTTTTTCTTTGTTGTTATTGTTATTGTAAGGGTATAGCATAGGCGTATTGAACCCGTAATAGCAGTAGAGCAGTTGATTTGATTTTTTTTCAAGTTATTTGGTCTTTTTACAAAAATTCTAAATTTTTCCAAATCTATTTGCATGTTATATCTTTTTTCATATAAAACATTGAAAATCAGTTTTTGGTACTTTCGCCTAGTTTACGAGCGCAAACGGCAGCAAACAAATTTACCTAGAAAGAAGTAGCAGTACTCTTTATTTTTTTGATTTGAAATTTCCTTTTTTAAATTTTTATTCGTTTATAAAATAGTAGCGGACCCGGCGAACTTCGTTTCACAACATCACTAACATCACAAAGTAGTTTTTGTGAAAATTGCAAATAGGGGATATTGAATATAAGCCCTCGATATGTAGTTCTATAAAACCAGGCACTTTTAGTTTTTCAAAAAAAAAAAAGAAATAACTTTTAACAGCTGTATGCCTAGTGTATATAGAAATATGCAGAGATATGCGTGCCATTCAGCGTATAAACCGCGCATACCGTCCGCCATCCTTCTTTACATAGAAATACTCGTTGGAAAGTCGAAAACATGTCGCTGCTGCTATTACCTGCAAAGAAAAAGCAACTAGTGGTGGAGTTACCAGTTTGCGTTTCAGCCCAACTAGTTCACGTTCTATCATTTTTCAATGTCTCTCTCGGCGCTTTAACAGTCGCAATGGCTGACAGCGCAAAGCACTTGCGTGGTCCCAGGTTCAACTACTGGCGCAGTGAAAATTTTTTAATACTTTTTTTTATTAATTTTTCTTTTTCTGAAGTTATTTTTTTTATTTAGTTATTGTAGTTTTTAAATTTAATTGAAAAAAATAATATTTTTTTTTTAATTCATTTTTTTCTGCAATGCAATTACATTCTAAAATTTTGATATTTATATTTAAATTGAAATAATTATTTTTACCTACATTGATTTAACTTAAAAAATTTTGACCACCTCGAAGCGGCTTCTATCCTGCGACCGCAGAACATGACGCCCCCGCCGACATTTGTAAGAAAAGCAATTAATTGCATTTTATTTTTGGCTTTGGCCATTCAAAGGCAGATGTCGCTAAACGCTTAGCTAAGTTTTTCGAAATGGTGGGACTGGTAGGCACATACTTACGGTGAACATATTAACCAACGTAAAATAAAGGACACTTTTTTTCAAAATGATTTGGGAATACGTACATACAACTTGTATGATAAAAGTACCTTACCCGTATCGTAATTTAAATCAAATATTTTCCAGTTAATTATATTATTTAATTGTACAAGTTCCCCTGCTGTAGCGAAAAATTAAGCCAAATCCTTTTCAAGGACTTCGCCATCCTTTGCTACCATAAGGCGTTTACCATAATTCATACTGCACGACGTAGCCCGCACACTGGTTCAAAATTAGAATTTATTGTTCATAATTCACCGGAGCCTTAATTTTTCAACCAATTTTTACTAAAAACTAAAAAAATTTATTTTGGTGAATATTTTTTTATAACATTTCAAAAGATTTTTTTTGCATAATTTTTTCGTTTTGAGAGAACCATACAATTGTTTTCAACTAGTTTTTGTTATATAACATTTATTAACTGGAACAGGAGAATATATTTTCTTCAAAATTGCTACTTTCTCTGCATTTTGTACTAAAAAGTTTAATATAATCAAATAAAAATTCACAAATTAGACCCAACTGGTCCATTGCAGATATTGGAAGCTTTCATAAAAGAAAAGTAAAGATTAATCAAATTAAGTGAAAAATGAAGCGTCCAGTGAATTAGTAACACTAAATGCCAGTTTTGAACCACTGTGCAGCAGGGACTTATTGCTCACTTTCAGTGGAACTGGAAACTCAACGTGCAACACGATCCTGGGCAAAACTTTCTCTGTGCTTTATAGATTGTACAAAGATTACCGATTAAACAAAATCCCTTATTTGGGGTGCGAAACAAACTGGCGAAGGTTTTCATTGCATTTATTTTTCATATTCTGTATTTTAAAATTTACCTCTGAAAAATTCAGAGCTGGGTTGAAGGACAAATTAAGAAATAAAGGACAAAAGGCGTTTTGAAAAAAATTATATAGGGCACGGGGTTAAAATGAAGGACGGATGGTCACCGTACACATACTAGTTAACGAACTTGTATTTTTTCTAACTGGTTTGGCTTTTCACTGCAGGGTTTGCGGCAACGGACGATTGTTGTTGATGGCGATAGTTAAATTGTAAGTTGTGGTTACTGGCGCCACAGCTGGATGGCGCATTCGCCTGAAGTACACCTACTAAATATGTATGAATGTATGAATGTATATTCATAGATTTACGAATAAATGAAATTCTATAGCGCTGTCGCTCTCAACACTAGACTCAGTCTACATACTACATAGTTTCTAAAATAATAGCTTCGGATGGAGTGCTTTCAATTGCGTATGCGTGATTTTATTAAAGTACCTTAGCTATTCGCCCTTCAACCTCAGTGCAGCCGCTGAAATTTTTTTGAATTCTTGCACATAACAGCGAATCGTTTCAGTGCGAGCGCTGCAGCGTAACTTAATTTGTGCCAAAGTGTTACATTCTCGCATGCGGCACTTGAAAGCCAAATAGGTTTATCGCTTCCCCAAAACTAGGCCTAGTAAAATTGTCAGTGTACTGCAAAATTTTACACCTTATTTTCGTTGCAATTTTATTCTTTATGAAAAACACAAAATTGCTTGCTCAAATTTCATTACTTACGCTCATCTTCTATTAAATATATTTTTTTAACCTCCAATATGTATGCATATTTCTGCTACATATATCATTTTTCATCTTTCTACATAAATATAGTACATATATGTACATATGTATCTTACAATTACAACCACTTCTTTTGTTTTTTCCTCAAAATTCATCAAATTCTTCTTCTTCCTCTTAATTTAGCCAATTATCTACAGTGCCCGCCGTGAGCTGTTTTTCGAGAAATATGGCCGCCTCTTAATTGATCATATCATCACCAAGGAACAGGTGTATGGTGTTGTATCCTTGCGGCATTTGTGTCGGTATGTATACTTATACATATGTATATGTAAGAGCGTTTGTAAATGTATTTATTTACGTACTAAAATTTAAATTTTGCTTCGTGTACCACCAGTGCTGTTTGCTATGCCCTCCCCATTAATAAATTTATGCTTTGAAATTTAATTAATTGGCCTGGGTTAATTTCATTATTTTGCTAATATATTGCGTACACCGATGTGGTTGTGTGGTTTAATCGGGACATTTTGTGTTTTTATTACGTTAATTAGAATTTATTTTGAGTAAAAATTAAGCCACTTCACACCTCACCGACCTCACGCCGTAAGGGTTATTTCAAATTTGTTAGATTTTTAAGTGCACTTAATAGTGACAATTTTGAAAAACAGTGGCAGGAAAATACGAGATGCAAAATTTTAACATATTTTGGCTATTTTTCTGCTGTTTATTTAATGTGTATCTAACAAAAGCCATATTAGCCCGATTTAAACATTTCTTTTTTATAAAAATAAGGAAAATTGGACAATTTTAGAAATTTAACAAATTTAATTTTTTTTAAATTATATACATATTTGCTTGACCAAAAGTATATACCAAAAACTAAGAATTTTTATCTTAACTATAATAATTGTGCACACTAATGTGTGCACACTAAATGAAATACATACTTAGTCTAAACCTTTATAATTAATACTAAATATACCAACAATGAATGGGCCCGCCGATTCTATCTTCACAGTAGATAGACCAGGCTCTCGACGGCCCTGACTATCCAATAATGCCACAAAACTTTTATGATTTCGTTTACTGAAAAAAATGTATATATATTCATGATTATCAAGAAGGTGATGATAGCTTTGGGGGCTTAGAGCTACACAAAGAACTGCTAGCACACAATTAAGCCAATTGCACCGAGTGGTTTGAGGGAGACCAAAATTTCTACAATTGGGATTCAAATACCTTGGACTTAAAAACCGTAAATACGACGGGTCATATGAAGATCCTCATGAAATGCATAAATGAACCCATAATGCACATTTGTGACGCAATAGTTCCGAAAGTATTAATACCTCGGAACTTTGAGGTATCTATTGTAGAGCGATTACTCGTGAGTGTAGGAAATCCTTACACTAAACCTGATGATAAGGTTTGGTAAACTGATGGATCCAAACTCGAAGGTGTATCACCTGGAGCTAGCACATCTGGTAGGAAGTTAAACCAAAATCGATACCAATGGGCAGCTATCTCACTGTTTTCCAAGCTGAGATTCATGCACCAGAAACGTGTGAAAGAGAATGTCTCAGAAGAGGCACAGCTTCTAAAAACTTCTGCATTATGTCAAACATAAATTTAAAGCCTTTACATATTTACATATAGGCTATACCCCCATGTACAATAGACCACGTCAGAGATGGCTGTGTAGTACGTGGGCCACATAATATGAACAATGCCAGTTGAAACAATATTTACTAGCAATTTGTTATTTGAGTGGAAATTCCTGAAGTCTGCCTAAAAACAAACCGAAAGGAATTATCTTGCCATTTTTTCAAAATAATTTTGAGTTTAATCTTTATATTATTAACTCGTCTGCCAATAGTAAATATCCACGGCATAATTGATGTCTTTCTACATGGATATGACCTTTTAATCCGATATTAATAACCAAACTAAAAATATCATTTAATGAACACCAGCGAAATATGTAGTATGTATGTATGTATGCCCATAATACAGCATTAGTAGTACTTCTTCAACACCGTTCAACCAAAAGTAATAATTACACATATATAGTGCATATATATGTACATTAGGATGGTCCAAAAATGCATTATAAAAAGTAGAGTCGGAATTTTTATGCTCTCGCCACGTAGGATTGTTCTATACCGACAAAAATGCCCAATTTTTTTTTTTGTTTTGAAATCAAAAAATATTTAGAGGTCGCTCAAAGTTTTTCATGTATTAAAAAATTTTTCGATCGGAAAACTCTGCTTCTCTGTAGGAGATTCCCTATAATAATACCAAA